CAGACCGAGAACTAAGCTGAGGAAAATACCGTTACTACACTGGCCCAATAACACTGATAAAAATTCATCATCATCATCATCGACTGCATGACATCTGTGTTGAACACTGGTGCTTCTCTGCTGTACATCCATAATTTATTTGTAAGCCCTATTGTGGTGGATGGGAAAGGGACAAAGTGATGTATCACCACAATCATTCCGAGGTGCCTACGCCTCCGGACATTCAATTAAGCAATCTGGACAGAAATTGACAACATGAACACCATTGGCATCGATTAGCAGTCATATCCTGGAGTGTCTTCAACCAGGTACAGTGGGGATCAGGCGGTCCCCATCCTGGAAGGTGTGTCGACCGACAGCACCCAAACGTTTCGTAATCACTCTCATAACCCTCTGCCAGGTCAGGCGTTGGCCATCTCTCTGCTTCCGCCACTCTGAGTTAAACATGGGAGACAGCACTCTCTTCGGCAAACGATGGTTCGGTGTACTCAGCTTCTGGTGCTGGACACATTCTTCAATGGAAATCCCCGTTGCACAACCGAAAGCTCGCTTTTTAACTACCCCATTATGGAACCGCCGACACCAACCCTTAAGAGACAACGATTGTTGAACACCTGAAAACGTCTCAGTTCCGCCGCTCGAACAGTTCAAGTCCCACAGCCATACAGCAAAACAGCCCGCGCTGTAGCCTGATGGACACGTCTAGTGAGATTCAGGGGCACACACACTTTGACGCCATGGGTATCTCAAATTAGCCGGGCCTTGGAGATTTGTGCATGGACATCATTTGTCACACTACAATGAGAACTAGTACAACTTCCAAAACGAGTAAAACGTCCCACAACTTCGAGTGCCTCCCCTGGATTGTAGATGGTGTGCTCAGTGTCTGCATGTCCAGGAGCATGATCTTAAAAGACAAAAGAAGGTTCAGTTGTGGTACCATTTCGGTGCCTTGGCACCATGTCACCAGAAGGAAGCATGGGTGCCAAGTGTATACCAAAGGAAGGGATAACTTTGGTCAGTTCGTCCCAAAGCAACTGCGCCTTCCCTTCGAAGACGAGAACTATGTCTGCATATTCCAGGTCAACAAGGTTTTCGTCGCAGGCTATTTGAACACTGGGGTTTTGGAGACCTTTCAGCGTTCGTCTCATCACCTAATTGTTCACGAAATCAACTAAGAATGGGAAGAGTAGGCATCCATGACTGACACCGCACTGTGTACGGAAGCATTTGGAGAGCTCTCCGTATATTCTCACAACTCCGGAAATCTGAGAATACAAAGGCCTTATTATTTTGACGAACCTCTGGGGCATTCCGTGATGGGCAAGCGTGTCAAGGAGAACAGACCGGTCAACGGAGTCGAATGCGCCTTGGAAATTTAGGAGGTCTAGAATTGTGGTCGCTCTTACTTATGGTGTTGTTCTAGCACCTGACCGACTATGGAGATTTCGGTAACGCAATCCCTACCATGCCGGAATCCTGATTACCGCTCTCGAGTCAGTGTTTGGCGATCCCAAGTGGTTAAAGCATGGTTTTGCTGAGCGGAAAGTTCATGTTTCGAACCCGACCTTCCCTTATCTAGACTTGGGCAACCGGGCAGTTCCCAAGCCCTCGTGCTTCCTTTGGGTAACATGGCAGTAAGGCACCAAAAGGGTGTGAAGCTGAGCTTTTTTTGTAAGGCGACGAAACACCAATGACGCCAACAGTCTCGTTACGACCTTAGTCAAGCTGATTCCTCCGTGGTTACCACACTCACTGCGAGCCCCTTGTTTGAGAATGAGCACTGTCACCGACTCTCTGGGATATACTGCTTTTCCCAAATGCAAGCAAACGGATCAGACAACCGCTGTCTGAGGATCTCACCCCCATGTTTGAAAAATGCGCGTGGCAGGTCATCTGGAGCAGAAGCTCGTTGGAACTTGAGATAAAATATGCAGCCGTAAACCTCTAATGCGGTAGGCGGATCCACATTCACCGTCCAGGGTTCTACGTCACCTGTGGGCTCCAGATGAGTACCAGCTGGTGGCCATAACAATTGTTGTTCGACGTATTCGGCCCACTGGTCGGTCACTCCTCTCCGATCCTCGATAGTTTCTTTCACAATCGGTTTCCGGGGACTGGTTGACTGGATCAACAAATAATCTTCGGGCATTCTCGGCTTTCTGTGCCTCCTCCATTTTCTTTGCTTTCTGTTTCCATCAGACTTCACGATCAGCTCGCACGCTGACTTTCACTTGACGCCAAGTAATTCGTCGCATCTAGTTATGTTCGGGACCGGCTGGTATGTTTCTCCGAGACCTAAGTAGCGCCACCGTTTGGTGTGCTATTCAGTGCTTGAGTGCGCCTGGTGGTGCCGTGTTATTGGCGAAATCCCCAGAACTATGCAGAGAGGTGATAATCTCGACCCAGGATGGGTTCAACTCTGATGGTGGAACATTTGGAAGGTACTCTAGAAGACGATCCCGGTAGGTCCTCCTAACATCGTAGGATGTCAATTCGCAATATTTGTGATCTCTACAATGGCGAACATTGGGGTTAATATTATTTAGTCGAACCAATTGGCTCAGCTATGTATTGGATCTCCCGTGTGACGGGCCCTGCCGGAGGCGAATTCCTGCCGGTTGCAGAGACAAGTCGTCGGGTTCACCTGCGCCAGATAAAACGTAGTACACTCACTGACGAAGGGGTTTGGTGGATTCATAAGGCCAGGTAGAAGTTTGGTTAATCATACCTTCACTCTGTGCTAGGCCCTACAGTGTCATACATACAGGTTCCCCATAATGCTAATGTTCCTTGGCTTTAAGGATGCATTCGGCTCTACCGACTGGTGCGTTCATCTAAACGCGCCTCTTCAACGGGGTTTTTCACAGAAATCTGTCAACGCGTTATGCCATTTGCATTCACATACTTATGGGTTGGAGTGTTAGGATACTTCCTAAATTTTATTGAGTTTATTACTAACACAAAATCGCTGCAAACACAATTTTGAAAGCCCGGGGGTTCGTATCGTCACCAATGAGAGCCTTGACGATTCGTGGACGACGTTAGTTTTCGACAGTAGGATGAAATTCAAACATTTCTAGGTTAGTCGACTCGCTAGCATGCACCTCGCATCGATAGTGGAGAAGACATACAGCAAATGTCGCCTAGAATTCAACGAGAGGCCCGGGAGACTACGTAGCTAGGTGCCCATCTTGAAAGTTCTGGTTCATGTGGTAGTGGTTTAGACGAAACTTCCACCGGAAACTCGGGAACTCGAATCGCTTCGCCAATTTACACCACCTGCGGAAGCAGAACTGCATAACGTCCAGGCCCAAGAGTAGCACATATGGGGCCGTTTTGCTTTGTAGGATGGCCGACTGACCTCTGCAGGCGTAGTCAGGTTTGTTTCAGTCTAATTTGAAAATCCCAGCAACCGAACTTTAAATTTCTCAACATATTCTTGCAGAGGAATGCATCGAGATCAGTAGATTGTTTGTTTCCCCACTTTTACGTGTGCCGAATCATTGTTCACTCAGAAGGGCGCTGTCTACGTTGCCTGGTTTACTTCGGTGCAACCAACGAACAGAATGAATATGACTTCGTAACCGCTAACAAAAAAGCATGAAAGACTTCAGTTGTACACGTCTCCTGGGATGGGGTCCATGTATTCCCGTTGTGCTTGTCTAGAGACGCTGGAAGTTTTGGGTGCTTACATATCACATTGGCTATGTGATTACCCCAAGGAAGCGTGCTGAGAACACCCTTATTGCCTAAAATTTAGTATCCCAAGGGTCTGCAGTGACTATTCAAGAGGTTCCTGTGACCGCGACCGTGCTAATCGTTTATGCCCCCACAACCATAAAAAAATAAAGATAATCGTTCAGCTGTAATACCGTTTCGGTGCCCAGCTGTCATGGCACCCGAAGGAGGCACGAGGGCTGGGATACTTTCAGGTTGCCCAAGCCTAGATAGGGGAAGTCGGGAGGCAGAGGTGGGTTTAGAACCACGGACCTTCCGGTCAGTACATTCGAGCTCTGTCCACTAAGCTATTTCGCCCCCCACAACCATAAGGAGCAAGTCCTATGGATATTTGCTACAGGTGATCAATGTAGCGATGGAGTAAGTGAACGGACAACAACACACGACACATATTTAGCTGGTTACAGTTGCGCCAACGCTTTGGAAATGTTGTAGGTCCATGAGCTTCGCACTAATATGGGCTGACCTCGCAACCCATCTCGCCGCTAAACGAAGTAAGTGTCCCGTAAATGGAATGCAACGCAATACACCCGAAAACTTGACATACTTTCAGATGTCATAACCCCTTACAGCCCTAAACAAATAAATGACCCGTTTGTCTCGGTGAACAATCGGTGGATAACGCTGAAGATCTCCAAAAACTGTTGTGCACCAGCAATGTGTGGCGATGTTGCAGTGTCTTGCTATCTGGTCAAGCATGTTGACAACAGAGACCTGCCTCCCCGTAGGGAATGACGTCTGCATGTTCTGCTAAAGGCCACTAGGATGAGTCGTAACCGATTCTGGTCGGACTTGTCATCACACATGGTATCTGCCTCGAATCTTGGCGATTCCGTGCGGTATTCCGTCTCGTGGACTTGGCCTCAGGGAAACCCTGGCCTCAACAGCATTTGTTGCGTGTCGCAAATTAAAAGTTTTTCAAAGACCGTCAGTATCCTCTCTTTCCATTGCGAACCTTCACATAGCCCATCGTTGAAGGATTAACTAAATTTAATCCAGTCTGTTCACCTTTTTGACAACGAAAAGCACACCATTCAGGTCAAACGTTCCACTTGTTGTTGGACCCGGTACTTGATAGTTCCAGGTACTTGACTAGTTGACCGTGATCCTGGTGTATCAGACTGTCATAAGCGACCACACACTGTTTTTCGCTACGTCACGCACGCGACCAGGAACCGCGTGTGAAGTATCATACAGTGACCGGCATAAGCCTACCAACCCATAGTTTCTTGGGAAAACAGTTGGTTGAGGTCCAGAACATGAAGCCAAAGCAAACAACAGTTCTTCGTCAACAGTCACTGCCATTTTCCTTTTTTGCGTTCTTTATAGGTTCCCTATTAATGAATACGGATAAAAAAACGTATGCTGTAATTCGCGCTGTATACAATAATCATCATGCACCCGAAGACTTTGAACGTGAACTGGATTTCGTTCTCAGTCGTAAAGTCAGTTTAGTCATCATTGAACCGGAATCTTTGGGAGAGGTCACTTGGCGATGGATCCGTACAGGGAACTGGCTGCACAAAACTGCCGTAATTTGTGGTAAGTTATCTGCTCGTTTAAACTGCGGTCTCATTCGTCTTTCCGTAGTCGGGATAAGTGTGTCTGACCTCCTCATTTCACGTCCTAATAGTAACGAATGTAGTGGGTTTCCGTGGTGTTTTTCATTTACTCTGGAGGATACCTGTTGATGCCTAGGTACGCATCTGAGCAAGCTTTGCTGAATAATTGTCACCCTATTCCGCTAGTGCTCAAATCAGTTTAGCATGTGAAGCACTTGACGATGTCAAACCAACTGATACACCGCATGCAAACGTGTCTGGTACTCGCGAAATCATTGGTGACACTTGTGTTATCGCATCAGGTGGAAAATAATCAATACATGACTGCATTTTCTACAAAGTTAAACCACCAGTTATTTAATGTCATTATCCACTGTGTGCTGTTATATGATGCAGTGCTATGTACAGTTCACAGGTTTTTGTGCTATGAATACAACCTTCGTTGTAGTCATTAGGTTCAGTCGTTTTATCTACACCTGTAATTGAGGACCGAATTCTGGTAGCTTTCACTAAGCGGGAGGCTTTCACATAAGTATCGTACCAATCTTGCCGTATAATTATCCCACAGACAAATTCCTAGTCGCTTGTAGGTTTCCCCGTACTACGGGACATATAATGTTGCATTTTATTCACTCAGTGAAGATGACGCAAAATAGCTAATTTCGTGCCTTCCATGTGGATGCCTGGTAGCTGGTTTCATCATAATTGACTCACTGGTAAGACAAGCTTTCGCCTAGTTGTGTAAGACAAGGCTGCCATCCCTCTCTTCTTTCCTCTTCGGATTTATTGATATGCTGTCTGAAATTTCTTTGCCTCCCTCTGAAACCTCGCGGATCGAAATTCTCCGTCGACATTCACTCGCAGGCATTGAGTATTCGGACGATATTGCAAGCCACTTTAAATAACCAAAATAATTTTGCCTCACGGCTTGACTTGCGCTTCACACCCGCAAAGTTGAGAATGCTGCTACAAGACTGTGCGGGATCAAACCCAAACCTTGCAGGCGAAATTAGTAAAATTTGTGGGTTAAAAACACGTGATATGCTCGTGTTCTGTGGATCTTTTGGAAACAGAATAACAGTATAGTGAGCGAGGTTGGTGATGTGGAAGATGCCCAGGGTTTGTAGTATCAATGTCAAAATGTGGGATGCAAATGGAAAACTCTACCAGTTGAAAAACACAGCTGGCAAAAGAAAACACACCATTTCGCGAGTAGTCTGATCAGTTGAAGTTGAATAAACAACCTACACGAAGTTGTGAACTTCGAAATTATGGAGACTGGACAATGAGTCCACAAGTGAATAACTTTGTTCTATAGATAGCTGTGGATCTGACGACCTTTCACTTAGCTTGTTTGAAGATGGGGACAATGTCCCCAGTGAAAGTTTATCTGACTTGTTTGCTTCTTCTTGGAGTAAACAGACCATCCCAGATAATTGCAGTGAATAAATAACAGCGACCATCCTCAAAATCGGTCCGTATTGAATATGGTAACCGCAGGGCGTCAGATTGACTCTTGTTTTAATGACATTCTCAGCCCCACTTGTCCTCCGTCTTCTTATGGTGCTCCGTGAAACATTGACTCGGAAGCAGCAAACGGGTTTGCGGCGTTGTAGGAGTTGGGTTGACCGAGTCTTCATACTGCATGAGATACGCGCCCCAAAATCTTGTTATTCCTGGATCTACAGTATGCATTTGTCTTTAATTACGTCATTGTTTTCCTCAGTGTGCTTTCTTCAAAAGGACTACCCCAGATATTTGCTTCGTCGTACCTAAGGGCTTATTAGTGTGCATAAAGAGCTATCCAAAGGCTTTCAATGAAAAATGATGTCCGATGGAAATGTGCATCCTCTCCACGTCTGTTCACTTTTCTGCCTGACGAGATAATTAGGTGACCCGTGATGTTGAAGTAGGTTCCAATGAAAACCTTATCGAATGTGATTAGATACATCATATCCTTCTCGTTTCCGAAGAAGAAAAGAAGGCGTGTTTTGAGTTGATGATGTGATAGGTTGACCGCAGCGCCACACTACTGTTGAAGGTGATACGAATTCCATGATTTGAAACGCTCTCTTTGATTACAGGTAGCGTGACTGTATGTCCAGTAGCATGGCCTTGTGCGTATTAACTGCTTGCCAAAGGACAAAAAGACTGCGGTCAGGTAATTGATCAGGTGGCTGTTGATCTGTTCGCCGAGCTTGGCAATTGATTAGCAAACGTTTCGTCACCATTCGAGGAGACATCTTCAGCGCACTGAAGATGTCTCCTCGAATGGTGACGAAACGTTTGCTAATCAATTGCCAAGCTCGGCGAACAGATCAACAGCCACCTGATCAATTACCTGACCGCAGTCTTTTTGTCCTTTGGCAAGCAGTTAATACGCACAAGGCCATGCTACTGGACATACAGTCACGCTACCTGTAATCAAAGAGAGCGTTTCAAATCATGGAATTCGTATCACCTTCAACAGTAGTGTGGCGCATGCGATCAAAACGCGAAAATCGAAGACTCGCATATAGGGCACCCATGAGGATGAAGTGGGATGTCCGCGAATTTTATGGGACGTTTATATCGGGACGCAGAACGAACCGTGAAACGTGGCTGTTGGACTGAGACTTGCAGGCCTGAGATGCCTCAGAACTGTAGATCAAGTAACATGGTCACAACGAGGGAATTAAAAAAAACGATAGGCACTTCGGCTGAAGAATGTATGCAGCGTTGGAAACTCCAGTGGATTGATCGTGCAGCATGCATGCTGAATGCTGCTTCCCGTGCCGCAAGCAGGAAGATGCTCACTCATCCTACTAGCCAGAGTGATGTGGAAACAGTTGGGAAAAATATTGATACCTGTTTCCAAGTCCGCTACAATATACGACCACTAATCTATGTGAATGGCGCTATTGCTGTCAGATTGAATGAGTGTCTGGAGCTGGGTGCACCTTGGATAGATTAGCGCTAGGCCTCTTCTCACCTTTTTTCATGGCAAAGCGTCGCTGTTCAACACTCAGGTTTCGATGTCGATAATGTCGGATAATGAACACTTGGATGGCGTAGTGCGATGTGTTCTGCTCTTTTCTGTTTGCGAATGATTGTCGATTGAATGTGGGTTTTGAATGTTCTTTGGTCTGCAAAACTCCATCATTCCAAAAATTAGCGTTTGAATAGGGGTAGGTTTATGTTTTTTATCGAATGATTTTCTCCAGAGCATTGTTCCGTTTCCTGACAAGTGCTTGTCTTAGAAAAGAAACGGTAGTTGTTGGTGTGAGGAGACCTCAAACTTTTAATGTAGATTCTGTCCTATAAGTGAAAGCAATCCACGCTGAAAAGCCGATAAGCGCTTTACAGCTGTTTCCTCTTCATTGGGAATCATCAGCAGTGCGCATCTCACGAAAATCCAGGGAGTCTCGAACCCGCGACCTTCCGGCTAATAGTTTGGAAACTTACCCGTTCTGCCTTGAGCGCCTGATCAGCAGTGCGATCAGCTCGCGCTTAGACAGGACACGACTATGTATCCTGTCTAAATGTGAAGTAATCAAGCGGTATGGGAAGCTCTTTCAAATCCACGGGCAACAACTGTCGTTTTTGTTTTCTGTTCTGGTTCACCAGCTAGACGTAGTTCCCGGGCTGTTTTGGTAAGAAAGTCCAGTTTTCATGTTTCGCACTCATAACTCGTCTGCGTATCATACTATGTAAACAAGAGATCGGAAAAAGTACCGATTAAGTCCATCTGTGGTGTTATTCCACCGGATAAGCATCACAGAGGAAATACTAGAATAATGTTCCTTGTAAGTATTATGGTTCGGTCTCCCACCATATATCAGCCTTTGGTCTAAGTTTCCATCCTCGTGAAGTTATGTTTGAAACCCTTTTTCTCTATGTAAATGTTACAAGTGCCTTTCATCCTTGACTTAGCATTACTTGAAAGGTTGCTGCTGATTTCTAATTCGAGCACCAAATCTTACGTAAGCAGCTTATTCATTCAGTTAAAAATTAACATGGGGTTAACGGGAGACACAAATGAATACCACCTGATTCTCAACTTCAACTGACTATACTGCACTTTGTGTTCCAATTCGAACAATCTTCAGGATGTTGAAGCATTTTTTCTCGACTCATCACTAATTACAAGGTTTTTGAAGACTTCAAAAGTCAATTGCACTTTCCCTTGAGACTATCCGGTAGATCTAGTCTCCGAATTTCCGTCGAATATTGACTGATTTATTTTTTTATTATATTTTCATATTGATTACCTTATTTAGACGTTTGTGAAGGTAAACCCTCATTTAAAAGCTTAGATAGTGAACTAAAACATCAGGTGCCCTTTGTTTGGCATATCCGGTTGAACAGTACCATAGACGAGTATTTTTATATTGATCTTGAGAAGGCATCACGAACTAGCACCTGATTTCATGCCAACCCCGTGACTGTCCTTCGCACGTCAAACGACATGAATTGTCACTTAACGGTCACTAATGATGTACATGCTTTCAAGCAAACTATGTTTCCTTTCTAAAGGGTCTTATATTTCCGCTGGCAGAAAATTTGACTGAAGCAGTCAGTATATCGTTACCCTAGATTCAACGATGACTTCATCATTAATTTGATCTCTGTCGTTCCAGTGCGTCTCAGCCAATGTGTCAGTACGATCAACAGCTGTTGTTTTTTGTTGTGTTGGTTTGCGCTCTTCACAGCAGTAGCTTTTCCCATGCCTCAGCGGTTCTTTTGTTGTACGTAAGCCAAAATGAAATTCATGCTACTCGTTTTTGGCTGCAACAGTGATATTCGTGGAAAATGTTGTAGTTGGCTGGCTCCTGGACGATACCCCCTAGTTTGATTACTTGTTGGTCGTCTCTAGTTTACTTCACAGACACTGCAGTGCTGTATAGAACGCATTACCTTATTAGCCGATGTAAAACCTGGTTGCCGCTGAGAATCTCTAGTCGTCAATAAATAGGTCTCTCCCTCCAGACACGAGCTGTT